AATCGATTTCTAACACGTATCTGCTACTACGAGATAACGCGATCCTATAAAACATTCAAAGCCCTTGCAACGATGCGAGTTACGATACGAGTTATTTCCATAGCGAAAAACTCTAAACAAGTACTAGCTCGTAACCACAAAGGATAGATTCCAACCAACGTTAAAAAATCGAAGAGCCGTCTCTTTATCCGTATCCCGTTCTATATCTACTCGTGTCCGTTCTCATATCTCGCTTGTGAAAAAAAAATGGAGTTTCGTATAGATTGGATTCGATCTCGTTCGGAGGAAACGAGATCCTCCAACGTGGATCGATTCATTGAGCGCGACGTAAGCTGGAGAGAGAGAGAGAGAGAGATAAAAAGAAGAATCTGAAAAAAATCCGCGCGAATCGGTGGATCAGTTTTTTTTTCGCGATGCGTCTATGGCAGAAATATTTTTATACGTTACACGTACCAATATTATTCGTGCGCGATGAATTTTCAGAAATTCGCGATTGCTTTGAACATAGGCGAAGAAGAATTTCGAGATCAATGAACGAAATTAATTAATTCGACGACGCACGATTTTTTCAGTATCCCTACTTTTCTATGTAAAAAATTTGCATCATCAATCGCAACTAGTAGATTCGAAGTTACGATTAATTAAATGAAATTAAATTAAGTTGAATTAAGTACGATATTTTTCTTAATCCTATATATAATATCTGATATCTTTCTAATTGACAATCTCTTTTCTCCATAATCTCTCCAAGTCGAATCGATCAAGGATCCATCAGAATCGTATTGGGCAACAAGCGTATTTACGACGAGGAATATTGTTACGCGATACGTGGTTAAAGAGGGGAGGAATCAGGACGAGCGATTTTAAAAAAAAAAGTCGATACCAATCGGCGGAGAGAAAAATGGACTGCGTGTTACGATATTTTTATCGCGGTTAAACGATACGAAAATTGTCCTTTCTCTTCGGCCTGTAACGGAGGGCAAGGCCGGCGTGGATCGCTCAACCTTGACCGGAGGGGGAGGAGATGGGAGATAGGAAAATTGAATTCTTGTGCAGAATCCGGGTGGAGCGGCTCCGTAAATAGGAGGAGTTCGTCCTCGTAAAATGTAACTCTGTTTTTTTTTTGCTCGCTGGTGACAAGATTGGAAAGGAGAATTTTATTCCACGACCATTTCTCGCATGGCTGAGATTGCCACGCAGCCCGTTTCTGGCGGGCAAATCTTGTTTACACGGGGGCGACGTATATAAAGTTATTCCTTTCATTTCCATTACGAATTCCTCGTTCCGTGGAGGTTTAATGTCGCGTTTCGACGATGCCTTCTCGTTTTCTCGTGCCAGCCCCGCTTGAATTGGCGTCCAAGGGACGTTTCTAAACAAAAGCCGAACAAAAATGGCTTCCGGTTCCATGGCTGGAACGGATTCGCATCGGTGTCGATAAAAGAAAAGAAAAAAAACGTTCTCAAATTGACAAATCGGTGGATCTCGAGACTTCGAGCGAACGAATTCGAATGATTTTTCTTATCTCATCGATATTTTTATTTTGATAAAAAATTCATATATCTAGAAATCTCGTATTAACACAAAGGATAAGCAAATTTAATTAGGTCGTTTATATAATACAAATTGGTTTAATTCGTTATTTCCATTTCGTTGATAATTCGTTTTTCGTACGAGAGGATTTCACGAAACATTTTCCCCGAAACGAGCAACAACGTATATTAAAAATTTGGAAATTCTGCAGGAAATAATAATTGCTTATTCCTATTATTTCGGGTCGATTTCTTCGTACAAATATATATTTTCAATTATTCATTTCGATCAATTTCTTTTTATCGTACGCTTTCAATATTCGTAAAAATATTTGCTAAATATTTCAACGAACAAACGAGAGTTAAATAAAACAGGAAAGGTAACTATACATATATATTATCAGGAAAAAGACATTTGCTAAGTTCTATATTCGATTGGAACGATACTCTGACCCGCAAACATCGATCCCAAGATTATTCGACAGGTTGGAGGATCATTAGCATAGAGGAGGAGTGGCCCTAGTCAATTTTGAGGATGGCGAATAACATTCCGAGCACCGTGGCTCGGTTAATGTAAACAGGCCTAACTGGGTTAATGCACATTTGCATTAACGCCGGTCATCGTCGTGCGCATTTCCGAATAACATTCGAACATGTCGTTGACCGGGCAATACTCGTAGCGCGAATTAAACCGGAAGTGAGGCGAGAGAGGCTCCGATCAATCTTCGAAAAAACTTGAATATTTCGTGGAAATAAAATATTATCAGTGCGATTATATGACGAAATCCCTTCCATCGAATGATTGCAGAGTTGCAAGTTCTTTTAAAATTTTTTAGATGTTTTCTTTGTTTAGATATTTTCGAGAGTGGTAAAGGATAGAAAATTTAACGAAATTGCGAGGGAAAAAGTTTTTCATCGAACAGGATTATCAAAATTTCATCGAGATTTCCTGATACAATCTTTGAATCAAATTCGGTCACTTTTTTCGAAATGAGAGAAAATGGAACTCTTTTTGGAAATTATAATTTATAGAAATAGAAATAGAAATTTTCCGCGACGAATTCAACGAATGATCTTAATTATCGTGATAAAGTCCCTTCCATCGAGCAGAGTTGTCAAGTTGCAAGTTTCTCGAAAATCTTTACACCAAGTTTGATAATAAAGTTTTAACAAAGTTTAGACGTTTTCGAGAGTGGTAAAGGATAGAAAATTTAACGAAATTGTTGAAAAATTGTTTGCAACGCAAAGTTCTTCCCATTGATCAGGATTATCAAGATTTCATCAAGATTTCTTTGTATCAAATTCGAAATGAGAGGGAGAAATGGAACACTTTTTGGAAATTATCGAAAAATTTTCCGCGACGAATTCAAAAATATTCGTTTAATTATTCAAAGTTCTGCTCGACCAATTTTACCGAAGTTCGATATTATCAAATTCGACTGAAATAATGATTCGACTGATCGACGGTGGATAGTTTAGGTTTAAAGTCAGCGGGCAATCTGTTTTCTCCCCGTTCGACTCGTGTGGTCACTGCGTGTACACAGAAACGAGTGTACATCGATCGACGCGATATAGCTGGTCGCAAACTGTCCGTACACTTCGAGTCAACGGGTTATCGTCGCGACGTGGCTTCAAGTCTAAGGTCAGAGTTATTTCAGGAAGACTTTGCCTTCGACGAGCCGTGGATATCGAATGAAAAATACACCGCCACCCATCGTTCCTCCATCGCTGCTACTATTAGACAAAGAGAGAAGGAGAGAGAGAGAAAAAAATATTCCAAGAATTTTTCCGCTCCAAATAAATATCTTTTTCTTCTTTACGGAGGGAAATGTACAGAACGACGGATAAAATTGAGAAAGAGGGGGAATCGTATCATCCTTATAAGAGAGATTCCATTTAGCCACTTTTCAATCAGCTTCTGTGAGGCGTCTGTGCATCCACACGATCCCATAATCGAGTAACGGCCGATGGAACGAACGATCCGACGGCTTTTGCCAAATTAGACGTTCAAATTTGAAATTCAAATCGATTCAGACTGGCAGCCAAATCAATTTACCGTGCCGTCTCGCTGTGACAACGCCGAAATCTCTCATCGATGCGCGATTCTCGGGCGACCTCTCGTTGCAATGCATTATACTCGCGTATAAACTCCTGGAAACGCAACGAGATCGACGTTAACGTCTTCGTAACGCGACACGCGATCAACCACGTTTGTCAAGATCCGTTGTTCGATTTGAATGAAATTTATGAAACGAAACAATTTTTTTCCCTTCAAAATTTCAAAGTCGAATCTTTTATCTTATGTTGAGTGTATTTATTTTTTACGGTATTTTTGGAAAAGAAATTTATTATTTATTATTATGGTTAATCTCGCGTTCATTCGTAGATTCGATTCGACGTGTCGGGATTAATTATCAATGCTGACATTGTGTTACGTTCCCTTAGTGGTCGCTTTATGACGATATCGATACCGGTTAGTTAGCGTAATGTTATCATAACTCGCGCTTACTGGGTTCCGATTATTGGGAGCAATCTAGAGTAATGATCGCGATATACAGAATTTCCACGTTGTTAATTTGAGGGGACAATCGAAATCGGGATCTCTCTAATCCGTTGCGTTTAATGGATACTGTAGTAGAATTTGTCGTAAAGTACGTCTTAAATTCAAGGATAATAAAAGGATAAACGTTGTTGGAAGATGGCGCGGTCTGTAATTATGAAAAATAATAATCCCTTTATATTTACGTATCAAATCTCTCTCCATTAATCCTCTGTGAAAAATCGTACTTATTTCGAATATATTTACTCTTTTTCGTTCTCTTTAATTCGTTCGTGTTGAAAAATTTCAAAGTCTAAAGAAATTCTTCTCGATGATCGTTGATGTTCGAAACATTTTTTTTTTTT